ACAGAGAGAGAGACAGAGAGAATGAATATATAGGGCTCAGAGCAAACCAGCCAGTGTTACCTTGGGACAAGGCAAATAATACAAATTTCTTTATATACCTATTTTTCTACTCTTAACCAGTACATGACATTTCTTATTGCCAAATAGTTGGTCATACCATCTATACACTTACTCAGTGAGAAAGTGATTGAACTAATATTGCTTTATTTGCTACCTACAAAGAGAAGGTCAGGAACACAACAATAAGGTATTTCCAAATGGTACATTATGAAATCATGGTGAATATAAGAACTATACAGAGTATACTTTGCATATAGAGATTCTACACTTGCTTCATAAGGTCTAGCATATTGTTGAGATAATGTTTATGCATATGATGATTTTAACTTTTCTTTTTTCTCTGTCAACACCTCCAGAGCCACTGAAAGCTACCATCAGCCCCAGGAAGGTTAAAAGCAGCGTGGGTAGCCAGGTTTCCTTGTCCTGCAGCGTGACAGGCACCGAGGACCAGGAGCTCTCCTGGTACCGAAATGGTGAAATCCTCAATCCTGGAAAAAATGTGAGGATCACAGGGATCAACCATGAAAACCTTATAATGGATCACATGGTCAAAAGTGACGGGGGCGCATACCAGTGCTTTGTTCGCAAGGACAAGCTGTCTGCTCAAGACTATGTGCAGGTGGTCCTTGAAGGTTAGTGGGCCTCATTAGACGGTATCGCTGCAAACAAACCAAACCAACAGACTAGAGGGGGAAGCGGTGCTGAGGGCTCGCAATCTTAAGATTCCTGTGTATCTGAGACAGTTCATGATTCTACCCTGTTTTCTAGCTCAGTCACACAGATGAAGTTTTGATGAGAATGAAGCTGTATTTTAGAAGTAACTTAACTTTACGTAACATAAGGATACTCATTTCACAATAAGGATACTCATGTCACAAATTTCCTTGTCAAGATATAAACCCTAGAAGCTTGAAATTTATACTTATGTTAACAATTCTTTATCCTCTAGACCAGGGCTTCACAATCATTCTCTTTGGTGAACTGTCTTATACATTACAGAATGTAACTTCTACCTACTGGATTCTAATGGCATAGCCTTTCCAAAATTGTGACAGCAAAAAAAAATTACTCCAGACATTGATAAATCCCTCTCAGTGGTAACAAAGCCATTACAATCCTTTGTTGAGAACCACTGCTTAAGGGGCAAAGTGCAGAGAGGAATTTTACTCTAATGCCTTATGGAATGAAAAAAAAAACGTTACACAATTAGTAGAATTGTCCATGGTTGGGTCCAAACATTCATGAATCTAAGTGAATAGAATTTATGAGGAATTATTTTGGACTTTTGGCTCCTGAGGCATAGACATACTATTCAGTTTGTCTTTCTTAGTCTATATATTCAAGCTTATTAGTAAGTCAGGTAAAGAATTTTCCATAGGTGACATGCAAGGGAGACATATGTTTATCACTAGATAATTAAACTAACATTTATATATTTGTGTGTCTTTTGGAAATTGTGTCTTTATATGAATCTGTTATCAGTTTATTAATGTAATGACTTTCATATAACCTAAAGGACAAAAGTAAATCTGTTTATATGTGAAAATTAGTTTAAATATCTCATAATGCTAAGAGGATATATCTGCTATTACTTCTTCAACCTTATCTAATTTTTAAGACAAGTCAAGCTTAGAAATAAGATTCGTATTTTTATTCAAGAAGATCATGATAGAGAGTGAGTTTTTAATTCAGAGGTGAAATTCATTAGAGGCATGGTACTCATATTAAACACTTGACATAGCATGACGTGACAGTGAGATGCAGAAAGTAATCCATTTGTATGGAGCCAGTTTGCTAATGATGATGCAATATGGTTCTTCCATAGTCCCTGCTTTGGAGTTCTTTTTATAAAAGAGAGAGCTTACCTGTTAAGTCCAGTTACCTTGGCAACCAGCTCATGTGACTAGGAAAACCTAAAGAGCATATTGATAATCCATAATGATGTCGAAAGAGTTCAAGTTATCAGAGAGTGACAGCAGGAAAGATTTCAAAGACACTAAAGTCTCACTGGGAAAATAATGTCTGCTTTCATCTCTGAAAAAGCCTGTCGCTTGAATAAAAAAGGGGGCAGGGGAGCATACTGAGTATCCTCATGGATTTATTTGTCGCATGTCAGTTTCCATTCAGGACAAGGAGCTTCACTTTATATTTTTTTTTTCTCTTTTGAGAGATGACAGTGCTAATGTAGCAAAATAGACCAGAAATGGAATTGCAAATACATATCTAGTCCTTGATCTCAAATGTGGTAGATTCACTCTTCTCTGATTCCTATTGAAATTGCTGTGAATGAACATAAAATTATAAAAATTTCACTATGCTGTGAATGAGGAATGACCGCTGAAATAATTCAGAGTTATAGAGTATTTCTAATAAGGCTGGAATAACAGACTGAAATCTAAAGAAACCCGACTCTCGTAATTAATTATAGGCTCAATATCAAATTAGAATGACTAGAAATGGGATTTTTATAAATAACAGCTTCCATTTCTGGAAATGGTGAGATTATCACTGTCAAGTGATAAAAGTTGTGAACTTTTAGGCGATAAAAAGCTAAATGTAGATATTAAAGAGATAAAAAAACACATAAAAAAGATTTGACTCTTGAATGAAAGGAGAATAATTAGCTTTTATCTACAATAATATGACTTTCCCCCCTTCCAAGTTATGTGTAATGTAGGAAATCAGAGCAAGTCTTAGAGACAGAGATCTGAGTTTCCAAAACAGTTGTGCCCTGAGTAGAGAAATTACAGAAATGAGGATATCATGTCAAGGAGACTCAAAATCTACAAATAAAATCTTTGAAAGACTTGATTGACAACTGAACTGCAAAAATGTAGTTTTATGGATAGAGAAGCTCTGGTATATTCACACAATAGAGTACTATGCTGTATTGAAAAACAAGGAACTCATGAAATATTATTCAAAATAGATGACCCTGGAGGACATTATGCTGAGTGAAATATCTCAGTCACAAAAGGACAAACACTGCATAGTGCCATTGTTGTAGAATGGGACTGACATCAGGGTTGGGGTGAGACTGAGAAAGATTGGATAAATTATGTATACTGCACTGAAACAGATGAGGGAGAGAACTGTTTAAAAGCTCTATTTGATTGGGTATTATGGTTATGATAAGAGTCCAGAATGAAGGTTGCATAGTGGAGTGTACTGGGGCCGAGGGGAGGGGAGCAGGATTGTATACCAATGAAAGAATTTTTCTTTTACTTTTCAAAGAGAAAAGCAAACTGCGGGGGGGGG